CGGACTGTGAAAGGGGTCATGAGCCGCCACCTGAGGTACAGCCCGGGAAAGGAGGAAGAGCAGTCTGGTTCACGAAAGCCAGGCGTACTGGAAGAGGGTCCAGAACCGGATGAGTAAATCACAGGAGATTCCTCACGAATTCCATACATGGAGTTCAATGCGCCAGACATGCCTATTTGTTGCCGAGCTGGTAGAGGTTGTCCGCCAATGGCCAAAGCAGCCTGCTGACGTTCTATCTTTGGTGTCATCCTTTCAGAATCCTTTGCCAAACCCTCCAGCATGGAGATGTACTTCATCTGCTTGGGGATAGCTGCCTGAGCAGTAACTGCACGCTGCAAGTAAGGTGAGAGGTCCGCGGTTGTGCGCCGTGCCACTGGAGAAGCCTGGGAGCTTGTGCCATTGGTCAGGGAACGAAGATAAGCTTCAGACGCTGTGTGCTTCAGTGGCGAACCAGCTGATGGCTTGCGCGAATGAGAGTGTGGGGGTGGAGGGGAGACAGTAGGAACAGTCGGAGTACGTGGGGGCCGGATAGTCCCGGCCAGAGAAGGCGACCGGGATCTAGGCTGTACAGCTTCCGTTACGATGGATGGGGGCGCCTGGAAACTAGGGGGCGGTTGATCACTGATTTGCGCCTTCGGAACATCTTCCGTAGACGATGCTGAGACGGACAACGACAACGAGGTTAACAGTCGCGCGAAATGCGGGTCCACAGTGTCAAGATTTAATGCTTGTTGGGTGTTGTCGTCTTGAACAGCGTGGTGGACCATGGGCTCGCTGTAGAGAGGTGATGGCGTTTGAGGATCTCCTTGATCGGCAGACGATTGTGAGCTCGATTCTTGAGCGGCGGTCACAGCATCCTGAGAGTCATTCGCAAGACGTGCATCATCACCGCTCGACAAGTGTGAATCCGCTTCAGCAGGTGCATGCGATCGTCTACGATTCCGACGGCTGTGGTCCTTCGGCTTATGATCACGGATGAAAGCTTTCAACGGGCTAGGGTATATTCAGCATCGATGGCAAGTCACAGGAGATAGCGGACGCACCCGATGAAAGGCGTGATGAGATAGAACTTCCCAGGAACAGACTTGTTACGCTTCCACGTTGGGAGATCTTGGAGCTTGAACCAAGCGATTTTCTGGTTGGAAGCATTTCGGTCAATATCTGGATGAGGTAATCGAGATGGCCAGAGCATACACTGATCTCCTTGCGTGTTCGAGTGGCAAAGGGGTACTCTTCGGGTACGTTGGACACGATGTACAGTGACAATGATTGGTCTCGAATCGACAGCTCTACAACGTCCGCAGGGTTAATCTGTTCGCTTAAGTCATAGCCCGTCTCTTCCAACACCTGAGCGGCTCATTAGCTCATTTGTTTGGATAGCTACGTCCGACTTACTTCGCGCACTGCACATCGATGCCTCGGTTCTTGTTCATTGATCTTGCCTTTCGGGAAGCTCCATGCGGAGGTAGATTTCCAACCCTTCACGAGCAGACACTGGGGCAGCGTCAATATTATCAAAATAACGGACGTATAACATTCTACACACCTTGTCCCATGTCTCATTTAGCATTATCGCACCACATACAGGAACTCGGGTCTTATATGCCATGAAGTTTTGAAATGTCTGCTCATGGTCGTCACCCCAGTGGCTGAGAAGAGGGCAAACGTGGAAGAGACTGTGTGAGAATTTCTTGAGAGTCATCGTAGGGAGGGACGGATCTTGTTCTCGGACGAAATCTTCGTAGTACCAATGTCTAGTGCAACGTCATAATTTGTCGTCCCAGAGTTAGAAAGGAGGGTAGAACTTACGCCTGTTCCACCTGGAAACATACCCGCTCTAGTGAAGCCAGTTCTGCCTCGGGAAGGTTTAGGATGAATCGACTGTGGTATTTTTGAGTAACTGGTGTGAACACCACGGGATTAGAACTAACCTTGAGAGATCTTCGAGGACTTCGTGTAGTCTAGCTTGGACCGAGAGCGATGACTGGTCGTTGGCCGTTGACCGGGACACCGGCAGCTCTGGGGACGAGGAAGACGATGACGCCATGTCAGCGACGACGAAGAGAGTGTACGGGAATGGGGAGAGGGATGGAGAGAAGAGAAGAGAATGATTGCAGAGTTGAGACAAGAGTAAGCGCAACGCACACCTCGCGGGCGCCACAGCCCAGTGCCCACGCACTCCCGCCCTGCCAAATATGGCCAAATAAGGGCCTTGCTGGCTTACAGCGGGCCACCGACTTCATTTGTTCATCCCTGTCTCTTTCAGTAGGCTCTCGGTCGACTGACTAGACTTTCTAGTGTAATTCGCGCCCTTCGGAAACCATGCGCGCGCATCTTGATGACGGTCGGGATCCGCCAGGTCCGATAGCCTAGAAATCTTACGGCAAGTCAATTCTGAGTCCAGCCCGCAATATGCAGCTCCTGATTCATCAACCGGAAGCCCTCGCGGGTGTACGAACGACTCTGCTTCCTGACTCTTTGCGAGTGGTCGTAAATAACAACAAACATTGGAAATGTATGTCAAGGAGGCCCCTGTCGCACATCCTCCTAATCTCTCATCTTCAACCATGAAGGCTCCCTTCATGAGCTTCTCGACAGAGGTCCGCACGGGCCAGCCGGACCCAGCTTTTATTGCAGAATTCCGACACGGGGCGGATCTTCATAACAAGGGGATGGCGCTTGAGCGACAGGGAAAGCATGCCGAAGCGATCACTGTCCTCAGAAACGCTCTTGGGCTCAAACTGGAGACTAGGTCGGGACAGGTCACGAGAGCACAGCCTTTACATACAATGGCATTGCTGAATCTCAGATTCAGCTGGGGCAACTTGACGACGCCGAAGAGAATATTCGGAAGGCTCTCGAGATTGTCAGCCGTCTGAGCTCGACGTACAACCCAGCGTACTACCGTGATAATCTGGGTCTGGTGTACGAGATGAGGGGTGACCTCGCTGAAGCCAGACGTATTCGCTTTGGACCAACTCCCGACGAATATCTTTGCAGTTATGCCAAGGTGAGTGCTGTAGAGGATCATGTCGCAAGTGTATACTGACACGTTGCCCAGTGTCAACCTCAACAGCTCCGACCTCTCAAGCAGTTGTCCAAGTGCAGTCGTTGCAAGGTAGGCCGTAGTGTTACGGCTCCATGTCATTCTGATATCTGAAATACTTCACGTAGTGCATTCTGTACTGCTCAGCCGATTGCATGGTGAGCGAGACTACTTAATCGAGTTGGTGTCGTGGGAATACTCACTACTGAGCGTAGCGCAGCGACTGGAGGCGCCACAAGAAATTTTGCCGTAAGATTGAGTGATTGCGGCCTCCTGTCCTTCGAATCTTGGCTAGGCGCAAGTTAAAACTGTAGTAGTTCGTGTTCACTATCGTATTGTTGTTGTATTATCGGCGCCAAAGATCGATATATTGTAGTTTGACACTGGTGAAGGGCGCGTCGAGGATCTATGCGGGGTTCACACTGACGTCATGTCTCAGATACGTGTCCACGTGGGGAACGACATTGTGGCGTTTGATGGGCAAAGTCGGGCCCTCCGCAGCGAGCCGTTTCCCGCAAGCTTTCATGTCAGACAGGCGGCAGCTGTTCCCTCCCCCGCCCGCGCACCCGCTGCGCAGGCCAGATGTGGTACCTAGCGGGCAGTCTTCCTATTCCTCCTCACGTAGGACATCGCCGGTGATGTCACACCCTCCGAGTCCGTCTATCACCCCCCCTCAGCCGTCCGAAGTTGTGTCTTCAACTACTTCTCCTGCGGCACCTGTCACACCTACAGAGGCACGAACGTTACAGCCTCACAGGATTCCAGGCTCTGTTGAGGATTTTTACGACGACGACTCCGGAGATGACGACACAGTCACATTGCGTACTAGGGACGAGGAAGGGCTGTCCGCCGAGGAGCTACGGGAACTCTACGATGCAGAGGAGATTGAGCGTTTCCTGAGCCTGTTCTCATCTGTAAGTTTATCAGCATTCTATATGCCAGGTCGCTGACCTCCGACAAGTACGTGACAGACGTCGAACTGCCACGCACCTCGTCCGAGACCGGCCATCTCAAGACTCAGGATGAGCCGGCCCTAGAACCCCCAGATGCGTCTGAAGACGAAGGCAGTGGCTGGGTAGATGCACAACAGGGCGTCCCCGCCACCCCAAGCCCGGCGTCTGATCCCGTATCGGACAATCCGGATCTCGGTCTGGGACCGGCCACTTGGGCTGCTTCGGTGAGCAGCATTCCACTTCTTCGATATCTTACTGAATAAATCTTCCTAGAAACTACTGCTCCTGCTTCCTCCGCCTCAGCCATCGCAACCCCCTTTCTCGATCAAAAGGGCGCGACTGGCGGCGAACCGTCTCTTCCTCGCCCTGGAACCAACGTATTTTCCCATCCTTAAGAGGTTATGGGACCTAGCCACTTGGAAAGACTTCGGCACGAGTTTGTTCTACTGTTTTGTAAGTTTTTGTTCTTGTTGTTTGTAAATTTGCCGCTGCTGAAACTGCCATGCCATAGCTGTACTGGATCATGTGGTACAACGGTCTTCTACTTTCGGGCTTGTTGATTCGAGTCCTCTACGCCCTGCTTCGCAGAAAGTACCTCCCTTATCCAAATGCAGCAGAGCTACGTCGATATCGACGTGAATTGGAGCTCGCGGAAAATTTTAGTAGAAGTGTCATCTTGCGCGTTGCCACATCCCCCGCAATGAGCGTCCACGATGCTTGGACTACATTCAAAGAGTACAGAGCGTCGAGGAAACGAGCGAAAAACGAGACCGGCCTGAGTATGTCAGGCGCCAATGCATCGACACCGCAGATCGTGGTGGAAGAAGCTCTTCCGGACGCCGAAGATGAACCAGGAATGGCGGAGGAAGAGCTTGGAACTGTCACGCCTGATCTTCTAGAGTCGGAGCATGTCGCCACCCCCATCATGCACATAGCGAACAGAATTTCAGACGTACATGAGCGTATAAAAAAGTGCGTTCAGGCATTATGATCACCATTCACCACCAGCTGAACGTCTACTCAGCATCTTCCTGTGGCGTCGCCGGAACGTTTCTTTCGCATATGCTTTGGTATGTATTAGGCGCCCTCTTTTTTAATCCTGCGTCTTGATTTTTCTTGTCCGTTTAGGTCTTATTTGTACTTGGCTTGTTTACCGCATTTGTGCCAGCAAAGTATCTGGCGAAATTGGTCACAATGGGCTTAGGGGTATTCTTTTGGCATGTAATTCCAGTGCTAGCCTCATTGCCCCCGGCCGACCGTGCAAGGTGTGTACACGGTGATGTTTCTGACACAGTCGTGACCAACTCAAGTGCCACAAAGAATTCCTCCGCCTCTAAGACATTCGTCTACTGACGCAGAATACGCGATGGAGCTCATATCACAGAGGGTGGCGCAAGGCTTGCCAGTCAAACCGAGGCGAAAGAAGAAGCGGACTCCCTTAAGCCGAGCTGACGTCGTAGACGGGGATTCACTCAACAGTCTAGAAGCCGCAGACACTGCAGAGGACAGAGGTGTGGACTGGAACAAATGGGGTGGCCGGGTCGTCAAGACGAAGGCTTGGGCAGGCGACGTGAAGCAAGTCTTCAAAGCAGGCAACTGGAAGAGTTTGGATCGATGGGCTACCATCAACCCTCTCAACACGAGGGACACGCTCCTTTCGCAGAGCAGCCAGCAAAGTATCGAGGCGCATAGTAAGCTAGTTTGTCCTCTGCTCCTTTGGTCTAGCTGACTCGCGACACAGCTTTCCCTGCCCAGCGCAAAGGACCTGGTTTGATCACGCTCACCGACTCTATGCTGTACTATACCCCACTTGCGTCATCCACGCCCGAGCTCTCCATCAAGCTGGGAGATGTCCTGGCTGTGAAGAAGAGCGGGGTGGCGAGGGGGCTGAAGATTCGCTGGATCGAGCCGGACGCGAACGGAGTGGAAGAGGAGCGCACAGAAAGGTTCTTGTGGGTCGGTGACCGCGACAGTCTCTTTGCACAACTGGTAGGCTTTTACGGAAATCGCCGGACCAAGGTATGAGACTCGATAACCGAGTAGAATGATGGCGCGTGTAGATCTGTCGCAGACTTGATGTGCGGAGGTTATGCTGGATTTGGCAGGTGTCGTGGAAGCTGTCGTGGCGCTATTGCCGTCAACTTCGGATGAAGAGCACTCAATGTCTGCCATTCCCTGGCAGTAAATATTATACCTCCTGTCGCAATCCTGCTCTTGTCCACTTTCCCCCATCTTCGCCGTCCAGGCCGCCATCGAGCGAGCTCCCCGTGCCACAACTTTGTGCTTTCCTCTCGCTGCGGAACTCGGGGTTGTAGCATGTTCTTTACAACCGAATTACTCTCGCGTCGCGATAGTGGCTTCGGTCTCCTGTGGTATGCGTCTGCTTCGTAGTATCCTTCCTTTTTCTGACATAAGTGCCACTGGCAGGCTGGCGGCGACCTTGGGAGCAAAATCGTCTTTCAGAAAGTTGCCCAGGCGTTCCGTGATGACTGCGGACATTTCAGAATTGTGCACCCTCATAGCTGAACCTGTTGAGCCACTGGCTTTACGTCTCTCGAGCAACCTGATGATTGGTGTCGCGCGGTATGTCGTCCCGGCCCTACAGCCTTAACTGGTTCGTTGACTAGAGAACGCAGCGTGTACAAGGGTATATGCGTGCTTGATCTGACCAAGTCCAGTTTGATTAATATCGTTCTCCAGTCAAGCAAGAAATATTACTGACCGACGTAACGACTTGTTTCAACACTCTGAAGAAAGTGACGCAGGATATGTACGCTGTATCCTCTGCAGCGGCGCAGTTGCAAATGGGCCAGCCCAGCGTCCGGTAAGCTGGTGCCAGTTTCATTACGAATGGTAGGACTCAAATACATTAGCCCGGACTTGGTAACGGCCGTCCCTGATCCCACAGTCGCATTCGCACTGGACTTCGACCATTTGTTCCGAGTGCGTTGCTCAGACTCGCTATTTATTGTCTGTGCATTTCCACTGACAACTACGCAGGGCTGGGACGAGCCAGTGAATACGCAAGCAGGCTATGGTGGTACGGCGCATATATTTTGCTTTTCTGAGAAACTATGTTCTCATGTGCATTTATAGCGAACGAAGAGGACGAATCAGAGGAAGAATACGACCCGAATAAAGGTCGGAAAGCGAAGAAGAGGGGAAAAGCAAAAGCTAGCTCCATCTCCCTCGCTGAACAGGGTCGTGCGGACCTGCACACCTTGCAGGAGGACCATAGCTACCTCTTATCCAGCTCCCTCGACGTAGCCCTTGAGGAGGAAGGTGGGGCTATACCGTCGTCCTCCCAGTTTGGTGGGTTTCGCTTCGATGACAACTTCCTCGACGGCGTAGACTTAAGCGGAGAGATTGGTGAGGAGTTGGCGAGGGAGCTTGGTGATGCATGGGGTGTCTCTCAAAGAATAGAAGACGAGTCAGTCTCATGCTCGGGATAGGCGGTTCTCGGCTAACTCTTCGTGGTCCGTAGGCCCCTTCCTACGCGGGATGTTGAGGACGTTGGAATGCCCGCATTTGACGAGGGCATAGACGGCCAGCTGCAGCAAGAGCACGCATTGCACGAGCCGGGCGCAGATGCACCGGTGCCCGGCGCGTTATCGAGCACTCCGCTTTCTGGTAAAGGCTTCGTCATGGTACGTGAGCTTGCACGGCAGATGTAGATCACCTTGCCGATGTGTTGCCTCTCCAGCCTGCTGACAATGCTGACAACGGTCGGTTCGTTCTATGTGACACTGTGTATCAATTAACAACGTCGTCCAGACGATAGGTTTGCCATGGAAGGGTCTGTAATCCTACCGCTGTCTCCGCTAGGCTCGCAAGTCGACCGCGACAGCGCCGTCCACGATGAACAGCGGAAACGGCCGAAGAAGGGTAAACGCGTCAGGCTACTTCTTGACGCACGGACGGAATTGACGAATGAAGAATTGGAGGTACGTGTTCTCGTGTATATCTTATTTTTCCTTGCTGTAAGGTCCTCTAGCGGGCGCGGTCCAGTTATCTGGAAAGCCAGGCTCTTCTCAAGCGTGAATCGGAGCAGAAGAAGGCAGAAAAGGAGAGTGCGCGACTTATCGAAGAGATGATCTGGGGTGTACCTCGAGGAGGTACGACATGCGAGGTTCAGGATGGTTCAATCTCAGCTGAAGTTCGTTTCTAGTGGCCGCTCCCGTGCTCATAGATTTCTGGCAAGAAAATTTCAGGGTGCAGGTGGCAGCTCGCTCGGGAAGGCTTCATCTCATCACGGAGGGTAGGTGTCTCCGTTCATGCCCATGCGGAACATGATCATTTACGCATCGCCTCAGGCGAGCCACCCAAGAAGCGTCAGAGACTCGAGAACGATATTACTGCGCCCGAGGACCGCCAAGCATATGAGCCGGACCGGCCTATGCAGGACGCCAACCTTGACATAGACTTGGCATGGGGT